CGACCTGGGCAGAGAACAGAGAAAAGAGAGACCTGGGCTTCCCCGGTTGTTGAGCACATAATCAGTCAGCCAGGAGCAGGCCAGGAGCAAGCCAGGAGCAAGCCAGGAGCGAAGTCAAGTTACCTAGCATTTGAATTACACTTGGAGCAATTCGCACGACGTACTTACACTTCGCACAGAGGATCCCTTTTCATTTTATGAAGCAATATCAGTTGCTTTGAAAAAATGTGATTCAAATTGCAGATAATATGATGTGGCTTAATAGTGTTCGTTCTTCTCATTCAATCCAGGCACATTTATTTCCTCAGTGCTACTCTGTTTCTCCCAGTGCATCAGGTGGATGATGCTGCAGCTGGTGCTGGAGCCGCTCCTGCATGCGTAAGCTGCTTAACTTGTGCCGGAATTCAACAGGAGCAGAAGCCACGGGCAACAAAGCTCAGGAATGCTCTCCGCTCAGTCTCCGTGCATCCCATCTGAACCTCCTGATCCCATCCTCCCGAGCTGTCCTTGCTCTACTTAAAGTTTTGCGCCAGCTGCATACGCACCCAGCGAGTGGATAGCAGGAGGGACATGCAGAGCGAGCAGGACGAGTCGGCCGCCTTAGGGCTTCGCCTTGCGCAACATTTTCGAATTCCAGAGTCAACCGCAAAATGAAAAACTTTCTATGGCTGCTGCTGCCGCTGCTGCTACAGCCGCTGCTGCTCCTGCAACTGCTCTCCCTCTGCGAGTCCTTGCCATATTGTATACATATTGTATATAGTTCTCTGCACTCCCTCACCCACCCATCCACCCATCCACCCAACCCTCTCCACCCCCAGTAGGACACTCTAACACACACACACACGCGCGTGTCCTTCAGGCGTGCATTGCATTTCGATGCTGCTCTCGTGGAAATTGCTTTATAAAATGTTGCCATCGCATAAAAGTTGTGTGAGGTTTTTGTGGGCGTGGCCGCTACCACTGGTGCCCCACTCCCACTGCCACGGCTAGCTTCTTGAGGGCTCCGCTTTCTTTTTCCTATCAAATACGTATACGTAATTTTTATTTTATTTTTTAATTTTCCCTCATTGATTCTCTTTTATGCTGCGGCTTGTTGCTTGACATGCTTTTAATTTTCAATGCATTTTCTCCGCCCAATGGGGCGCTCCTCTTCTCGATTTTTTCTACTTTTTAACCGTCGGCTATTATTGCTTTGATTTCGCAATAGTTTGCTAATGGATTTCCAGATGCTATAAATCATTTTCGGGGAAAAACTTTATCGGAGCGTGTCTGTTGCAAGGGTTTGGCGGGGTGAGTGATGAAAATGGTTTCTCCAATCTAAAAGTTGTAAAGTGAAGTGAAAATGTTTTTCTTACTGAAGAAATATAATGCATATTAGTGGAGGTCATCTTTTAATCTTTTTAAACGCCTATGCGGCACATTACGAGAGAGCCCAACTCAAATCCAGCACGTACTTAGAAGTATAGAGATTAGCAATTGCCAATGTGTTGGGTTATTTCCAAATGTGAAACTTGGGACTTGTAATCTTCTAACTGTGGCATTTTGAAATCGATTTCCTGCAGTTTTGTACGTCATAATCAATTACGTTATCGTTTCGAATCACTTCCAATGACTTTTCAGTCAGGCAATCGAAATTCCTTACCCACAAGCAAGTAAACTGCCAAGCTCCGTTTTGCTAATATCCTGAGAAGTCGTGAGGAGGCTACTGTCTTGGCCCATTCGTGCCGCATTGGGCGGAAACGTCTGTAAGCCAAGTGCAGCAGCAGACATAATTTGGGCGTTTTAAATCCTCGTGTAGAATTTATAATGCTCAATGGATTACAACTTGGACAGGGACGGAGATTCCTAGAAGGAGAGCGAGTCAGGCTATCTCTTGTGAGAGTAATACTTTCTTTTTTCCAAACTTTCATGTGTGTGTCTGCGTGTGTGTGTGTGACATTTTCTTTAGCCAACTAATGAATGCCTCAAAGAGTTTTCTCCCTGCAGTTTTAGTTTTGCGGCCAGGCCCACACACAGAGCTACTCGTAAAAGGCAAATGGAACATGGGAGCATTTTGGCTCAAGCCACAAATATTTGCACGGTCTCTGGTGTGGGTAGTGGTGTGGTACACCCTCACAGACATACAGCTAAGGGAATACACAGGAAAAAACCTGAAACTCAATAAACGGCAGCTATAAGCACAATCTGAAGTCAAAGAAACAAATCACCATAATAGCACGGTTATAGGGGTTTTTTTTTTATTAATATTAATCCATAAAAAATACAATATTCAAGTAATGCCATCGATTTTCTTATCATATTCGCATCTGTTGAGTAGTAATTAACGGTAGCATAGCCTTCGTACTTTGTTTTTCAGTGTACTTCCCTTCCCGAGAAGCTTTGAAGGCGTCTCAGTTTCTCCACTGCTGCTTCTGCCTCTGCTGCTGCTTCTGCTGCTGGCACTGAATCAGTTAAGAAAAGTTTTCTAATTAATTCGCCGGAGACATGTACAGAGACACTCACACTCAGGCACTCTCTCGGGGATGCAGCGACGTTGATGGTTACAAATGCGATGGGCAAAAATATAATTTAACTGACAGTTTGTTTGATAAGTGACAATTTGAAATGGGCTTGCAAATGGGTCGATCTGAGAGGGTTTGTTCGTGTGTGTGTGTGTGTGTGTGTGTGTGTGAGTGTGTGTTGTGGGGCGTGGCCCCGCCTCAACTTAACTTCATTTCGGAATGGCTAATTTGTGGCAGTTAAATGCATAAAAAAGTCATAAAATGCATTTGCTCCCTCTGTCTAAGGTTATGCTACCCGTACTCATTTTTCGCTTGCCTGCCTCTTGCTTCCTCCGTCATTGTTCGATTATGATTATGGGAATTCTCAGAGCCAAAAGAAAAGAAAACTCATCAGAATTTTCCATTAAAACAAATGACAACACGTTCAATGGCAAAATCATTATAATGGAAGGGGGGCTCCCATCTTGTGTGGGTGTGCGCCTCAGTGTGAGTCAGTGTATGAGGATGGCAAAATCAAAGCAAAATGTTGGAGCCATTAACTTGTCCACTAAATGTGAGTCTCCGCTACCATCTCCAACTAGAATCTGTGCGTGTTTTTCTCTCTCTTTCTTTCACAGCTATAAGAAGTTGGCCAAGAAAAGGATGGAGTGCTTGTGGGTCCCGAGGGATAAATGCAATGGAATGTGAAATTTAATTAGACACATTTGGCAGAGTAGCAAGAGTCTGAGAAGACGAAAGGGAAAGAGTGAGAACGAGGAGAATGAAAAACATAGAAGATATAGACAGAAGTCCCAATAGTTGAACCAATCAAAGGCAGTGCTTCATAACCATCTAGCCTCTGAGGGCGATAGGCTATACCATGTTCATGCGAATGCTCGATTATATTATATAGGTACCTGCCATTTAATCAGTTTTCAATGAATATAATAGAATATAATAACTGAAACTGATTTAATTTAATTCAAACGTTAATGACAACAAATTTTTGGCCAATTATGACAGTCCTCGCCTCGTCGCATGTCTTTAAGCTGGCCCCACTCTTTTTAGCAAGTATCCTAATGGCCTGGAAAAGAGGAAGAGAGCCGCAAGCCCGGCCCGCAGCCAATGAAAATCTAATTAAATTAATAAGAAGCATTAAAATCAATTTAATATCAATTTAAGAGTTGCCTGCAGCCATAGAAACCGCTTCCATCCATTCGCGAAACCCTTGCCGAAGTACATCAGTGTTTTATGTTGTACAATAACCAAAGCGCCAAAGTTTTATAGCCCTTTAACCCTCTTTTTGTGTACTGAACCGAGGAGCATCGAGCACCGGTTTTATAGTTGATGACAGTAAAATGTACTGAGAATTGTGTACGCATCGTATTTGGAAATTATATTTGCTTTTCCGCTTGTCCATTTGCAGCGCTTCAAGGACAACGACATCGAGGTGAAGCGCAAGGACGGCATTATCCTACTGCGTGAACTGGCTGCCGAGGTGAAGAACTTTATGGACTTCAAGCGCAACGCTGTCATGGTAAGTGGATCCCCTGCCCCGATTCCGATGCCGATTCGGATTCTCTCTGCCGCTCTCCTTCTGATGTGCCTACAATTGACAAGTGGCTCAATCGCTGAATGCTCAGAGGGCAAGCAGCAGGGCACTCCCGAATTTAAGGAGGACACTAAAAAACACACAGCAAAACAATCACAAGGGGACGAGACAGGACAACGGGTCTGCCGCCTGCCCGTCTGCTCGTCTGCCCGGTGGGAGGAGGATGGGGACGCCGGCGTAAAGTGGAAAACAATAAATTGCCGTGGGGCAAGTCTCATTGCGGTGATGTTGAAGCTCGCGAATGGGGCCGCATGGGGACGCCAAGCCAACGGTGGAGAAAGGAGGCGAAGAAGAGGTCGGCGCCAAATTGAAATTAAAGTGCGCCCAGCCACAGCCACAAGCAGAAGTTTTTGATGGCACCCGCAGCTGCTGCCGTGCGTGCGCTGTTCCGCGTCCAAGTGCTGCTTCTGGCCAAGTACTCTCCTCGCCTCGTCTCGTCTCGTCTCTCCCCATCTTCATTCTCCTCTTCTCTCACTCCCCATCAATGCGGTGTTGTGGTCCTGGTCGCGGATACTGCTGCTTGCTGCTCACTCTCTTTGCGGCTTCCCAGTGTCCCCTGTCCCCTGTCTCTTGTCCTCTGTCCCTCTGTATCAATAGACCTCGTTTACCGTGGGAATATTTTGCAGCAGGCGGTGGGTTGATTGTGCGGAATCACCAAGGGATATGTGTGTATATTCGTAGCAGGATCGGGCACCATTAGGAAAAGGCTGCAAAGTAGGAGTAGGAAGAAACAAGATGAGCTTGAGGCTATTCTTCAGTCAAAGTAACGTGGCTGCTCGGTCTTCAGTGGACTTCCCCATAATCTCTCTAGGAAAGCTGCTTGACATCTGACCTCCCAATCAGTTTGTCTATCAGCTACAGAATGCAAATGGCACGCCTCGGCTTCGGTCAAAATAAACAATCACGAATGAGGGAAAAAATGTTTTTATTCACAAACCTCCCACTATATAGTTAACAATGCATCATTAAGTGTACAGACCGTTTTAGATGGGAATCATTGCTGGCTCTTTAGAGTTATTCGATAGGTTATTCATATCACAGTTTGAAGAAGAGCCAAAAGATGACCAGACGTCAGAAACGGTCACAAATGTACTACTTTTGGATACCCGACCACCTTCTAAAGTCCCGCTTGATCCTCTACCGCCGCTACCGCCACTACCTTTTGATTCAACACGACTAGTTGTGGCCGAACTAGAGATAGATCCGCCTCTACCGCCGATACTGCCGATTCCACCGATACCGCCGATAACGCCGCTACCTGTTGATTCAACACGACCAGCTGTGGCCGAACTAGAGATAGATCCGCCTCTATCGACTCTACCGCCGATACTGCCGATTCCACCGATACCGCCGGTTCCGCAGATAACGCCGCTACCTGTTGATTCAACACGACCAGCTGTGGCCGAACTAGAAATAGATCCTCCAGTACGTTCAAATACTACGGCTTTACCTTCAGAACCGGTGCCGAGTGAAACCGTAGAAGCGGTACCAAAATTACCGCTGGAAATCGATTTTTCCGCAATTTTCATATCAATCCATTCACGGAAGAGGGCGACATTTGTATAGACAGCCGGAATGTTCTCCACTCCACAGCCAACGCCCCAATTGACGATGCCAGCCTGTTCATAGCGGTTTTTATCGTTGGCCAGAGGACAGACCAATGCGGCTCCGCCATCGCCCTTACACGCGTCCTTGCCCCGTTCGCCGCCTGCGCAAATTAAGCTGGAGTCGATCGTAAAGTAGGGTCCCAGGACGGATCGTCTCAGTTGTTGTTGGCACAGTTCACGACCCACCACGGGCACCTCAACTTTCTTCAATATATTCATGTAGGAGTCGGATTCAAAGGTCTTCTTGCCCCAGCCGCTGACAAAGCATCTGCTGTGGTCGAAACTCCTGTCCGCTCTTGGCAGACACGCGGGACAGATGTGGATCTGTGTCCTTAGTTTCTTACTCAGGAAGAGCAGTGCCAGATTGCTCTCTCCAGTCGATGCTTTGAAGTCCGGATGGCTTTCGATGAGCCTAACATCGACATTCACATGCCGCTGCAATTCAGTCTCAATTTTAAAGTCCCATTCACCAGCCCTGACGAGAAGCTGTCCTGGTTGGAGATTCGCCACGACATGGGCGGCCGTAAGGACTACGTCTGATCCAATCAATGTTCCAGCACCCATATATGATTCATCCGACTTGAGTAGCAGAGCCACCACCCAGGGAAATTCACCCATCTGGGCCACATCTGCTGCCTCGGTCATAGTGTAGTGCAGTCCATTTTCGTTTCGGTGTCCACATTCGGTTGGAGCGGACACCTCTAAGTCGAGAATGGGGGTAGAAACCTGAAAGAGTCATCAAGTGATACCCTACAGAACGCCCCAGCCTCGGATCGATCAATAAAATGATTTTGTGGACTTACCTTATCTGTGATGGAGCAGCAGACCTCGGTGGTATCGCAGCCCTCATTGCCTGCCAGCAACGAACGATATGAGAACAGTGCACGTCCATCCCTGATGACTGATCCGTTGTCGCACAAAATTCGCGGCACACATTCTTTGTTCCGGGAGTTGCCACAGTTCTTTCCAAGAACTCCTGCTGCGGCCAATGCCAGGATAAATATCGGAACTAGAGCTTCGATTCGTGACATTGCTGGCGAAGATTTTCGAAACGCACTGATCCACTTGAGTCTTTTCTCCGGCTTTTATATAACTCAGAACTCATATTATGCTGATAAGACCTGTCGCTGTCGTCTAGGTACTCGAAACAGACCTTAAGAGACTTAATACAATTTTTGGAATTTAAGCAAATAAAATTAATAATGTTCAAAAGATCAGCAAAATTTAATGCTAATTAGTACTCTCACTAAGGAATTGTCCTTGGACTCATCTATCTCAGTGTCTGATGAATGGATGATGTGAATAGGCCATCTATTCGAATTCGACCACTTCTAGTTGAATTTTGAAATCATTTCTCTTACATCTATAAGAAATGTGGTTTCTGTTTTCGTCATTACAGATTTTAATTTGCCCTTTTGGTTTATTTTGGCAGCGTTTGCCACTGCTCTCGACCCACTGTCTGGGCCTATAAATGCCAATGGCTCTTCACTCAAGCGATTTTCTGTTTTTTTTGGCGCAGCATTTTGATTGATTGTTCTGGCAAAGTGTCTCCTTAGCTCCATTTCCCTCTCTCCCTAACATCATTCATCTGGCGGAAAGTTTTCCTCTCTCTCGCGAATGGTAAATTATTTCGTATGCCCCACTGCATCAATATCTCGCATTAATTTAATTCCATTTAATTTAATTATGAAATTATTTACAACTTGAGGGAGAGAATCGAGCAAACAACACGTACAGTCATCATTAATAAGGCCCAGCATAACAATTAAATGTTATAATCAACGCATGAGGGCAGATTTAATGCGAGGCCTGGCTCTGGTCCTGGTCTGATCCCGGTCCCGGTCCTAGCCGTGTTGCCAAGTGCGTGGATATACATAAATAATTTTTTATGATTTCCGCAAAATATCGATTAAATTGGTTTTGTATGCGTATTTTTTGTGGGTTTCGTTTCGTTTGGTTTGTTTGTTTTTGCAAACGGTTTCTTGCGGACAACACGCTCACACATACCATACGAGAATAGTACAGAGCATACGCAGATGCTGTCCCTTGGGCTCACTGCTGCTGCTGCTGCTGCTGCTGTCCTTCCTCTCCTCCCATCTGGTGGCCGGAAGTTTTTGGCCCTGACGCAAAACGCATACGAAGCACCATTAATTAAAAATCAACCCACATGAACAGCAACGGCAACAGCAACGGCAAAAGCAACAACTACAACAACAGCCACAGACGCGGCAACATCAAAAACAGCCAACAACAAAATCAGCGACTGGCCAGACAACTCCTGTTGGTAGAAGGCAGAAAAAAATAAAGAAAAAAGCATACCCAAAAGAGCCAAGCCGGAAAGTGAGCAACGACCATTCTGGCCTGGCTTTTGTTGTTTGGCCAAATATAAGATTGACCGGGAAATGTTTGAAACATTTATGAAATGGCTAACACAGACGGACACACACCTTTTGGCCACCTTGCCCTCACCTACACGCAGACGGACAGCAGAGCACGTCTCCGGTGGGTCATCGCTGAGCCAGAAACTTGAACCTCAGGGCGAGGGAAAACGAGATAAAAGCAAATCCCATGCGAAGAAGCTCCCTTACAGGGGGGTCCACTCTCCATTTTGACTGCGTCGGCTTACGTTTTCCCGCATACTCGTACTCAATTCTAGAGTCGTTAGAGGTCAGGTAGAGAATAAATAAATAGAGAATATCGTATGGTGTGTATCCTTACCGAGGATGGTACTCGTACGTAGATGAACAATTTCTGAGAAAATTGCACCGCAGAGCAGAACAAAGCACTACCGAATTATCTGATGAAAAGTGATCATGTACGTGAAATCGTTTTCACAACGGCTTCCACAGAATTTTTGATCGCCACAAGGAGAAGCGGCATCACCCTGCCCCGGTAGAGCTCAGCTCAAAAAAATATCTCCTAGTCCCCAGTCATTCCTAGTACAGAAATGGAACTGAAATAGACAGGGCCTGATCGTGGTATTTGTATAGATAGGGAAATCAGTTCCACAGAATATTAAAACCGGTAGGGAACCAGCGTGCCGAAGCTTATATACCCTTTCAGTTTTCCAATCAGAAACAGTATGTATTTTCTTAGAGGGATGTATTCAAGCTTTCGTTGAGATGCATTAAAGACTGAGTTCGAATATAAGCAGACGGACATTGCTATATCTATACATACATACCTGTTCATGCCAAAGGTATACCCTTTGGTCAGAGTATTTTACCTCTTTAAAGGTAAGGTATAGTAAAAGCGTACGTTGGACTGAAATGTACTGGCCCTACTATTACCCACCTTTCGACAGCTATTTGAGTAATTTTTGCTCCAGGAGACCAGAGCGGATTACGTTATCTCTACCATATAAACCCGATCCGATAGAATGAACTTTTCGTACTCAAGGCACACAATTCCCAGAATGACGTAAAGAATTTCCCATATGCTTCTGCGCACAAAATAAATATGTCGAACACCTTAGTGGGATCTGCCCACCTTATAAAAATAATGTAAGAAAGATACAGGTTTCTTGCACGCTTAGCAATAAGTGGATTGACAGGCCAGTGGCGCCGCTCAGAAGGGGCTTAGAGAGAAGTTCTCAGCTTTGGTGTATTATCGGTCCTCTGTTGTGCTGGTTGTACACAGATAAGCAATAATATTTCTTGATAATTTATATGCTATTAAGACAAAAAGTAATAAAGAAGAAAGCCAGTCAGTCATAATTTTAATCTGGAAATTCCTCCTCTGAGTGTTGGGAGCCGAGCTGTTAAGCCGAGCGATTAATGCAATACTTTGACCTGTTTTTCCGCCTGTCAGTTGATCAATTGATCAGTTGAGTACATACATATGCATAAGTCGCTTATCTGCGTAGTACATGAAGTATTCTTAGGCTCGGGCTTGACTGTGGGATTCTCCCGATTCGATTAAGTTCACATATAATCTCGTTCATTAGTCACCTGAGCGACCAGTTGTGTTTTGCCTATTGAGACGAACAGTGCTACAGCCTGAAAATGGATTCAAAGACCTTCGTATTGCTTTTGCTGGTGGCCTGTTTGTGTGTGGCCTGCTGTGTGGCAGCGCCGCAGGGATGCAACGGAGGACTATATGCCAGGAACGGCAATATCGTCATTGATCTGCACAATTTGAATGGCCTCTTCGACTGCGTCGAGAGGCAGCATCAAAGAAGAGGATAATAGCCATTTCCTAATCGCAGTCCTGACCTAATATAATTTGTGTTGTGTCCAGTACGTCTATGTGAAACCTATATTTAAATTCCTAGCAATAAATGAAGTGTGCAATAAAAATCTATATTTACAATAAATATTATTATGTACATGTGAGGTGTTCAAAAAACAAAATCATCTTTGCCGGCTTATAGTTTTGAAGTCACTTATAAAATGTATCTTGAGAACGTTATCACATTCAATTCATTCAACTGGAGCTGGTGTGGCTCTATAACACTGCCTTACCCGCCTATCCCGCCTGTTGCCGGCAATTTGCGCTCATGTCGAACATGAAAAATAATGAAAACCAACTCGTGCGCGACCAGGCAAGCACCTGATGGCCCCTGCACCTTGTGCCCCTTGGCTCTGTTCTTTCTGTTCTGTTCTGTTCTGCTCTGGCCAGGCCAGGACAGAGCAGGGCTGCCCTGTTCTGCTTTAACATTGCCACTCGCATTCACCTCCATCAACGTCATACCCATGCTTCGTATTCATTTTGCTCTCTATAGGATGCCGGTTCCCGCCTTTCATCGCCCTCGTATCATTCGCTTGGGCACCTGCCGTTGCCTTTTGTTTGGTGCGGCATTAAAATGCTAATTGCCTGTAAACATAAAGGTAGCTGCAGATGCCACACGCATATCATTTTGCCCGGCCTCTGCTCCAGTACCTGTCCGACACGAGCTCGACTTTCTGTTCGTGTTCACGTGACGTATGCGTAATAATTTGTGCACTCCCTCTCGGTCGCGCTCGCTGATGTTGCAACGTGTAGCAAATGCCTGCACTAATTCGATTTCTATCAACGCCTGTCAATGCTGTTTTAACTCAGTTGTTGCCCCGTGCAACCGGCAACCGGCAACGGGCAACCTGCAACCTACAACCTGCACTCTGTCTCTCTCTCTCTCCAGCTTTTACATTCTCCACTGTCTGCCCTCTACTCCCGTCTGAGTCCACTCTCACTAATAGCTGTGTCCTGTGCCCCGTGTCCTGTTGCTGACAGCATTTATTTGCGTTCGGTTTCGAGTTAAAATTGACTTTAAAATTGCATTTAATGGCAAAAAAGAAAAACGTCTGTGCCCCCCTCCAACCTCTGCTGTCACACAGTTTCCCCTCTTCCGTCATTCTCTGTCTATGTCTCTGCTTTGGTCCTTTTCCTTTTCGTCCTGCCCACTCACAACCACCCAACGACCCAACCACCCAAGCAGCCTTCCTGTTCACTGTTGACTTCTTTGCTATAATGCCACTTGCACTTTGACGTTGACATTGTGCAAGGGAGAGGGCAACGGCAGTTAGGCAGAGAGAGAGAGAGAGAGAGAGTAGATGGATGCATAGATAGATACATAGCCAGATAGATAGATACTTCTTGATAGATGTAGGAAAAAAGTAGGTGTGCGTGTGTGTGTATCGGGCGTACCGAAAAGCTCTGCGAGTCTCTTAAATAGAAACATGCAACAACGTGGCAAGCAAATGTCTTCACACTAAAAGCATTTGCCTTGCCCTGTCCTTCCAGAAAGGAGCGAGGAAAAATACGGAGATCGCGAAGATGGCAGCTCCAAATGGTGACATTTGTGCAGCGTTGCAATCGCAACTGCTTTGGGTTGGGTCGCGTCAGTGGATTTCGTAGCGAATAAAGTCCCTCTGGATGGTATGTTAACTCGCATAAGACTAGGACCTTCGAGGCATACATTTATTGCACGATAATAATAATATGATGGAAGTATAATCAGCTGAGTTTTCCTATTCTTCGGCGTACAATCTGCTTCCCTATAGATTTCGCTTGGCTAACATTAAACAGCAAAAACTATTCTAGACTCGTGGAAATAAGATTTATATGGAGGCTTGTGGCTTCCACCGCACCATCCAAGCTTAGAAAAACAATCTTAGGTGTCCAGGGGATTGCAAAATCTTTTCCACAGAACTAAAAAGCCAAAGAGTAAGTAGGTACCAGCCACAAGGAAGAGTTGAGTTCCGCTTTGGCTTAGGTAAAAAGGTGTTAATAATCCTTAAAGTAAACCGCATCAAATGCGGGTGCAAATGTGTCGCTGCAGCTCGGTCTGTCACACTTGGTGCTAAAAATACCCAGCAGACCCCAGCAGAAAAGAACGGGCCAGACCCCAAGCAGGGCGCACCGGGACAGGTGCTGCCACTTGATGTCAGTCCCTGTCCCTCAGAATCGGATGCTTCACTAGGATACTGTTGTAAGGGGTCGCAGTTCACTGGGTCTAAGGTCTAAGGAGGTGAAATATCTCAACACAGAAATCCATTCTTTGGGGGCAGGGAGTGCCACCGTTAAAGCGTCAAATACTTAGCTAAAGAGATATTAAAACGTAATATAAATTTCTCCTTTGGCTACAAAACTTATTGCCTCAACATTTGGCACGTCCATTCAGACGGCAAATATATTGAACAGACAAAAAAACGGAAAGAGCCGAAAAGAAAAGTCTCAGCCAGACGGAAATCGTTGCTTAAACACACATCTTGCATTACCCCGAAGCAGAGAAATAACAGAGGGTGGAAAATCACTCGGCTGGCTTTGGCTCTGGCCATGGCTCTTTTCACTTGGCAAATGGTCAATGTGAGTTCGTTTTCCTCAACATTTTTTCTCACATCATCCTTTGGGGCTGTTGCTCCAGCCAACGCCCAGAGTCCCCACGCTCCTGTTCCTGCTCCAGCTCCTCCTTCTTCATATGTCTTGCAAACAAATTGCGTGCAAGTAGCTGCATTTTGCTAATTCCGGCAGAGCCCAGACACTGTACCGCTGACATTTGAGCAGGTCGTCCCAGTCTGAGCCCTAGCCCCAGTCTCAGTCCCAGTCCCAGTCCCTGTCGCTGCCATCGTTGTCGTTGTCATTGTTGGCTTTTGAATGTTAAGATGTCGACAGCTGCACAGACGAACGAACGGGCGAAGAAGCCAGCTGGTGTCAAATGAGAATTGTGTGCGAAAGGGCATTGCTCACGGTCTCTGGTCCCATTCCCATTCGACGCCCATTCGACGCCCATTCCCCGCCTATCACCATCCATTCACGCAACCCTTTCTGTGCCGGAGACACTTTTTTGTTGCCTCCCTTCTCCGGGTTTCTCTTCTGTTAGGCTGCCCCGACCTTTGTCTGGACTTGGAGTCCATAAGTGCATAATATTGTAAAAAACAGTACAACAAATATATCATAATACTCGTACAAGACCATGTTTTGCTTGCTTCTCTGTTCCGTTGTGTTTCCTTCGATCTTCGTTCTTTTCGATGTTATGTACGGAATACAGAATGTTAGACAAAACGACTACAAATGTTGGAATACTTACTTATGGGGATATAGAACCTTGCAAACAGAAATGTATCTATGAATTTTTTCTGCCAATCATGAGTGCTTGGATTGCAGAACTCTTGGATGGGGAAGCGGGGATTAAGTATTGTGTATGTATGTATACCTGAAGCAGAGTAGTTGCGGCTTAGTTTTCAACTTCCTGCTGCAACTAAAACGCCCAACTTGAGTAACTACTCTGTAACAGCTTCACCTACCTTTTGCTGGCTTTTCACCATGACAACGCAGCTCCTTCCTTTGCAGGGAAGATACCAAGGATACCCAAAGAGCAACTTCTATCGCAGTACTTCGCTACCCCCCCTTATCCATCTTAAACAAGTGCAACTCCCACACAGTCCCGCTCTCAGGGCTCTCTCTATTCTATTGACTCACTTTTGGCAGTGTTTATTATTTAATGCCTTAACTAGCTTGCTACT